AAGATCCTTTCCTAACCAAATTTTGCTGCATTTTTCCTTGCCCTTGTAACTTGCCATAATCACAAAAAAAATCTCCCAACCAGGACACAGGCTGTGTGCATTCATCAAAGTCTTGTTTACAAAGCAGAGCAGTTACAAGTTGAGGTTCATATCTCTCTTGTTATGCCCACAAAAACTCGGTAACTCTCCCTTTCTGAAGAGAAATGTCAGAAATCTGCCTGCTGCTTTGACTACCAATGTCAGAGTGAGCCCCAAATACTGTCTTTTCCCTTGCCATTTTTTTTATTTTTAATGCAGAGAAGTGCACTGAAGCTCACGGAGAATCTTAAAAGCTGAGAAATTAAATAATGCTGAGGCACTTTTCCAATGAAAGCAATAACGAATTCAGAAAAAAATTAAGCTCCTCATCTTGAAATGCTGTAAAAATATTATATAGTATATCATAACTACAACAGTGAAATAGAAGTGTGCTGCCTATTGCTTTGAAGCTACTTCAGAATGTTCACTGTTCCAATGAAACAGTGAAAGCTGATGCAAAATTATCACTTGGAAGGCCTGTAAAATAGAAAAGGTGTTTTCTTGTTCTTCACCAAGAAACCTGCATATGCCAGTGCTGCCATGAGGCACATTTTGTGTAGAAATATGAAGTTGTGCACGAGCTCAAACAACCCAGGAGTCTCCCCTGAAGCAGAATTTGCCTAATCTGGGTCCCATTTCTCCAGCTGCAGGCTGAGATTCCACAGCATCCAGAACTTGGGGCAAGGGGCTAAAATAGTGTAAAGGGAAATCATGTGTGTGCCAAACAAAGTGTGTCTAATTCTCCTCACAAGCATGAGAGGCATCAGAGACATTCCCTCTTCTACATCCACACAAGAGAGGAGTCCAGAGAGGTAAAACAAGATCAAACATGAAAATTTTGGGTGTCACCCATTCTGTTTCAATTTGGCTTTTTATGCCACTGATGATAATTAGCAATACCCAAGCCCTTCCCTGCTGCATTGTCATTTGAGGTTACTGCCTTCCCTAAAAAGGCACACCCTGTGTTTTCACAAGCAACGGACTGCATAGATACAGTTTTGGCTATGGTGTGTGTTTCTATTAGGGAAAAACCTCTTGAAGAACACCTTGCTTTCTGAATAGAGCCTGCTGAACTTCGGATGGTGCTCAGAATTGGTTTTTGTTGGTTTTTTTTTTCTCTGCAGCCACAGAGCAGTCTCCAAGGAAATGTTTGGTTCTGTAGCAGTGAGTTCTGTGCTTGCAGTGAGGGGATCTGCTGTGCCTGAGGAGTGAAGTGGTCAAGCACCATGATGTGGTCAAGCACATTCAGGTGATGTTTCAAGCATTTAGAGCTGGGTCACCTGTGATATTAAATATATGGAAGATATATAAAATATTCTGTGGTAGACAGATCAATAAGGAACTCATAGTAGCTTATGCAGCAAAATCCTGTGCTAGCTGCTATTTTCTCAACTCTGGTGGCTCCGTGCCCAGATGTATTTTGGTGCTGCTGGGAGGTGATAAAGGCAAGCATTACCAAGTCCTTTCAAGTCTTGTCTAAACCACAACCCCCCAGAACTGAATTATTATGATTTAATTCCAGTATATGATAGCACTTAAGTCATGGGATTGGTGTTAGATCTATGAATAATGCAGGTTTATTTAAAGGAATGGAAACAGACCAGATTATTTAAAAGACACTGACTGCCAGGGCTGAATATAAACTTTTCCAAATCTCTTCATCTGTTACCAGAGCTGTAACCAGAAGCACAAGGAAATACTAGTTTTGTTGTGTGTTATGAATGACAGAGGAGTTGCTGTTTATCAGCATGGGAGCTGATCTCCTACCCATCAGAAGCAGTGGGAGATGCTGCTGCAGACATCACGGACGGACAGTTTGCTATAAATACAGAACTCTGTATTTATAAACTGCAGACCAGACTGACTCATTTGGCTGAGCAACTTTTGGCTTCTTTGCCAAATTGCTGAGGTACAAATAATTTGATCCACAGTCATCACTGGATCTCTTCCTTGGTGTTTGTTTAATCAGACATTTTTCCTGTGATTGAAGCTGGCAGTTTTGGTCTGGAGAAGCATTGATGGAGCTTTTATTAATCAGAAGTGACAGTTCAGACCTGCAGAGGTGGGACAAGTATCCCACCTGGTACTGTATTTTTCAGACATGAGCTGAACCATGGGAATGAAGAGGGAGACCTGGCTGAACAGTGAGGGGAACGGAATCCATCTGACCCCAAAGAATTCTTCCACTCAAGAACACATTTTAAGAGAGGGATGAAAAAACAGTTTTGGGTTTTTTTAGAGCAGGATATTTTGTAAATAACATATTAAAGATCTTTGGGGATGATTTGATTTTACTATAGAGACCAAGAACTGTCATGTGATATGTATGACAAGCATCCATATCACATCTTGTATCACATATCACATATCACATCTTTTTGTTCAATATATCTGATTGCAGATGGACCTTTTGGCCTCTATTCCACTGCTTGCAATGGAAAAGTGTCCCTGTGTATAAATACTTTATTTCCGCCAGGTCATTTTCTACAATGTGGAAAGCATTCCTATTGCTTCCTTGTCACTCTACAATTTCTTTCATTCTCTGTTTAGCTTTCTCCAACAGTTCTGAAGAAAATGCTGTGGGTACTCTTCTACAGGAGTGTACACTTTTTACTGATGTTTTTTAATATTATGTTGCTCTTCCATAAAAATATGGGGAATGAAGAGGGATTTCCTTCTCACATCTTTTGCACCTCCTCAAAAGAGCTGCCATATGCACTTCTCCTTCCTGCACCAGGGAAGGGAATATTTGGCAGGAGCAGCAACAGGAAGCACACTAGGTCCCTTTTATGGAGAAAGCAAGTGGAGGATTGGGGAAAGACAGGACAAGGTGCTAAAAAAAATTAACACTTCCAGGGCAAACTACGGAGTTTGTACAGCTGCCCAATGTTTCATGGCAGCACTACCAGTGTTGGGATACCAGCTGCAAGTCAGTGGTTTGTTTTCAGTGTTCCATCAGGACAGTGTTTCACAGTGCTTTCTGCTTGGTTTTGATGAAAGACACTGATGGGAAGGATGTCATTGACATCTGTGGGAAGGATGCCATTCACATCTGTGGGAAGGATGCCATTCACATCTGTGGGAAGGATGTCATTGACATCTGTGGGAAGGATGTCATTCACCTCTGTGGGATGTCATTCACATCTGTGGGAAGGATGTCATTCACATCTGTGACCACCACAGCAGTGATGCTCCATGAGACACCACCACTGCTCCAGTACATCTGCCAGCAGTGCCTGGTGCTGGGATCCCTATTGGTGGCATTCCATAACACACAAAGAAGTCCAGGCTTCATTGACTCCATTCTCTCCTTGGAGAGCATTAACAGTTTTGGCATTTGCAATTAATTGCAAAAGCAACTTCACTCATTTTTGATGAAGTTACTCAAAATGCTTCACCCATGAATTGCAAAACCCTCCATTAACCAAAATTGTTTTAAACATTGGTGGGAGCTCCCAAAGTGTGAACATTTTTCTGCAGGACATTGCCATTGAATGGGAAAACCACAGGAGAACCTCCCCTATGATGAAAGACTGAGAGAAGTGGGTTTGCTCAGCCTGGAGAAAAAAAGGCTTTGAGGTGATCAAATTGTGGCCTTCCAGTACCTGAACAGAGCCCACAAGAAAGCTGGAAAGAAGTTCAGGAAGTATTTCCAAGGTCCCGTCGTGACAGGACCAAGGAGGAATGGCTTCAAACTGAGAGTAGGTTTAGATCAGGTACTAGGAAGAAATTCTTTACTGGGAGGGTGGTGAGGCACTGGCACAGGTTGTCCAGAGTAGTTGAGGATGCCGCATCCCTGGAAATGTTCAAGGCCAGGTTGGGTGGAGCTCTAAGCAACCTGGGATAGTGAAAGGTGTCCCTGCCCATGCAGTGGGGTTGGAATTAGATGATCTTTAAGGCCCCTACCAACACAAACCATTCTATAATTCTAATCCTCATTGCTTCATTTTAGGATACTCTCTGCATCCTGACACATGATCTGTGAATTTATCCTCATCAACTGGCTGTTTTAATTTTCAAGTTTTTTCTTTCTTAGTTATTCTTTGAAAGATCTTTTATTAATGTAGCACAGTTGAAGTAGAGAAAAATAAGGGGGTTTTTCCCTCCAAGATTCACATGATTAATTGAAAATAGGGTAAAAAGTTCCACTCTTGCTACTGATTTTTTAATGCCAGTTCCTGGGGCTTTTTTTCCTGATGATTATCAAATCCATCTTCCTCCAGGCAATACACTATTTCTGACTTCTAAAATAGACCTTGACTCTCTCAAGGTTCACTTGGTGGCTGGTTTTGCTGATTTGGAATTTCATTAACAGCTGATCAGCCTATCCCTTGAAACAATTTTTCAGCTGAGATACAAACTGATAACTGTCCTCCTAAAAATGAATCCACTTCAACAAAATGGATCCTTTTGTACGCCCCAAGTCTGGTTCTGTGTCTAATGCAAATATCAGATCTAATGTCTAATTCTGCCTCTAGCTGAATGACACTGATGTGAGAGCTAAATCCAGGTGGAGGGGACAAAATGTGGAGATTGCTCTTTCAGAGGAGCAGTGCAGAATTTGGTAGAGGTGAGAGAACTCTACAGAACCTTGAGATGAGAGGTGACCTTGAGACAGAAGGGAAACCTCCCTGACTGTAGAATCATTCTGGAAATGAGGGTGCACATTGCCAATGCATGACAAACAGCCCTGCCAGCCAGGAACTGAGAATGATGCTGCAGAGAGAAAAACACACTGGGTTTGCTCAGTCTGTTTTTACACCCCAAATCCTGCATGCAGCAAGGATACCAGTGAGGAACAAGGCTAAGGAGGCTCCTGGTGTTTTGGTGGAGTCCTGGCAAACACCAGGGGTGAGAAGGGATTGGTGAGACCAGCAGCAGGCATGTCCATCTATTTTACAGTTTTCCCCATTGTTTCTCACCTCTGTGCTGTTCCTGTGGCTGTGCTTGCACTTGGCCCTCACTGAGGCCAACCCACAGAGGCAAAGTCACTCTGGTGTCAGGCACAATCTCAGTACCTGGCTCTGTTATCCAGCACTTCTGAGTGCACTCACATCTTCATGGGAGCAACATCAAAGATCTGAAAACATTAGAAAAGAAAAAAGGGCACATTGTTTATGCTGTTGTCCTGCAATTTTGAACACTTTGAGGAAAGGGGAAATAAATTTTTTAAAAAGGAGAGAAGATTCATTGAACATCAATATTCATAATGGTATCTTGGCTTGGATCCTCTCGTCTCATGGCTAATTTAAGATCCACTGCTGGCAGTCAGGATGGTGCTGCCATGGCCCTGCCTCCAGGGACACCCACAGGGGAAATACTTTCTGAAATTCTTTCTCTCCTCCCCAGCCCCTTGTCCTCTTTCCCAGCCACTTTGTGTTTGTGGAACCCCCAGTGCCAACAATGCCCTCGGTGGGCTCGACCCCAGCCTGGGCACAGCAAGGGAAGGAGGAGCATCCCACTGATGGGCACACTGGCCTGAAATGCATCCTTTATAGAGTTACATAAGCAGGGAGACCATGTAGGAGGACTGGAAATAATAAGCTGTTAGGATGATTTGCTGAAGCTCCTCTTCACCTCAGCTCCCACGGAAGCACAGAAATAAAAGTCCAATTTCCTCCGTAGACAGAGATCACTGAGGGCAGAAAAATTACAGAATGGGAAAAAAAATACATTTCCCTTTGGTATTTGCTACCAGAAAAAGTGATGCTGAAGATTCAGACTTACAACCACAAGGGTGTGAGGTCAAAATTAGGTGAAAACTTCAGTGGGCAAAGAGATGATGTAGCACAAAAGGAGTAACCTGTTTGCAAGCTGGGAGGATGGGAAGAACATGGCTAGATTGTACAAATAGGATGGAAAAGGAAAAGCTGAGAACCCTCCTCTCTAGACAATAGTCAAATTTGAGAACTATACTTTCAATAAATTAGAAATAATTTTTAAACTTTATAAGCAGCTCAGATTTCCAGAATATCCATAATATCTGTAAAGAGCTTCTAAATAGTGATTTCTACCAATTGCCTAAAATTAGGGCAAGCTTAATATTTACATTCACATGCTCATATATGTTAAGTTTTTTTTGAAAGATACATTGACCACTCCAATTTCTATGTAAAGACTAAAGGGCAACTGATAATGTCATACACCATTTGCTCAGCCATTCCATTCTTGGAGAGATATAGCGAAAACAAAGAGCTACATCCTAAATTTTATTAACTGTGAAAGAGGTGATTTATTTTGTGGCGTAATAAAAGTGTCAGTGATAACAACGCCTCAGAGAAACAGCCACACTGTGAATGCCTCCTGCTGTCTCTTCCTTGGTGCAGATAGGTTTATTTGTGTGAGACCTCAGAGAATTGAAATTTCCTCTGCCCTTACTCTAAATTTAGAGTTAATTTAGGCACTGGAAACTGTATTTATCGTGGTATCCCCTGGATAACAAAGTGAACAGATGTGCTGTGGGTAGTGAAAGGGTAGTGGGCTAAGTCTAAGCTAGGAATTGCCCACCCTTCACACTTGAACCTGGCTTGAAACCCAGCTACAGCACCCCAGCAATCTTCCTGATCCTTACCAAACTGTGCTTTCACTTTCCTTGCATTGCCTTCCCTGCTTTATCCATTAGACAGCCTGATAGAACAGCTCTCTGAACAGCTGCCAAACTCGATATTGCCTCACATTAAAGCTTTAACAAAATCAGCTTGAGCCATCCCAACACCCAATGAGTGCTCTCCTTACTCTCCCAGCTGTGTGTGAGCTTCCCCCCACATTGTGTGACCCCACAGGTCCAGCATTCTGTCTCACACAGCCAGGCTCACTGCAAGCACCACCTCTGGGGTAGCAGCACAATTTCCTCATGCATCAGCTGCTCAGTGGGCAGGGCAGCAGTGCTGCTCACCTTAGCAGCTTCACAAAGTGAAGCACGTGATGACCAAAATGCTTTATCATCTTCTGGGCAAGCAACCAAAGAGCCTGTGCAAATTTACAGCCTCCAGTACCTTCCAGCTCAATGGCATTGCCACTGGGCCATTTTATCAGGGCTGGGGATCAGGGATTTCTCCTCCATAACTTCATTAATTTGTCCTGAGTCATAAGTTTTTGCCAGCTCATCCTTGGCTGATTAATCAAATTCACCCAGAAGAGCCTGTGTTAATGCTGCTTTGTTATTACTGTCATAGAAATTCTGCTGTCAGAGGTCATTTGCCTTTCGTGCTGCCACCCCAGCTGCTCTGGAAGGGATTAGGAGATGGCTCCAGGCAAGAAGGGGAGGTGATTTTGGAGGCTCCTACACTGAATCAGTCAGAATATTGTCACAGCATTACTGTACTTAATTGGAGAATGTCCCAGATACTTTGTATGTACTTACAGAGCATTATCTAATTCCAGAGACCATTTTTATTTCATACATCTACCCTGTCTTTCTTGGCTACCAGGAACAAAGACCATTGTCTTACATTAATTTTACTTTGATGGGGGAAGGTGGGGGCAGATGTTGAAAGCAGAATATTTTTCTTTGATGTTGTAAGGTCCTGCAACTTTTCTGATGAATCCTGAGCTTTCTGCCTCTTGTCATTCTTCTGATTCTAAAGGAGTCATTTAAGATGTTTTAAATTGGCACATTTATTGCCATTGAAGTAAGTTTAAAATATTGCAACATGGTCCTTAACCTTCTGAGCAAGGTTTAGCTGTGGAATCCTTAGGAAAAGGCTTGATTGCAAAAGTGACACTTCTCTGGTGTTCAGATCTGTCTGAGACATTTATGTGCCAAAGAGCTGTGAAGAGCTGATATGATTCTATATTTGTGGAGGGTTTCTCCATTGAGACTGTGAGTCTTCTGCAGGGGGACAGAAGTGCCCACATCCCCAGGAGATGCAGCTAAAATTCCATGTCTTCTCAGAGTATTTGCTGAAAATTTGGGTAGAGCAGTGCAGGCTTGGGTTCTGATTTGGAGTACAGGGAAATGCACTCATCCTTGAGAGCACACAGCAGGACAGGTCAATCCTCTCAGAATTCCTCTGCAGAATGGGATGGACAGTCTCATCTCAGATTTGGCACTTTTTCCAATGGCAAAGTCCTCCTGTGGACTGCTTTGGGCATCCTCTGGGCTTGATTTCAAGCTTTATTGGTGGTGTAAGAGAAGGCATTCCATTCTTTTTCCATCACAAATCACATTTATTGTCACCTGGAAACTGCCTTGTGTTTCTCTGGCAGGAATCTGTTCAGCAGCACCTGGCATTGCAGAGTTCACCTGAACTGAGCTGACAGAAAAAGCCCTGGAAGCCCCTGCCAGGCTGCAAAACCACTGCTTTTTCCCTGGAAAATGTAATTTTCCCTTCATACAAATGTATTGAGTTAAGTAGCACAGCACAGCCCCATTTGCAGTTTCAGCTGACACATTTCAGCAGCTCGTGGTCCATTCCCCATTCCTCCCACCCAGCAGCTTTCCTGGAGATAACCCTTCCCACACCCACCCAGCCTGGTTACCTCGCTGCACACATCTAGGACAAGCACAGCAGGACTCCACGTTCCTGTCCCTGCTGTGGCACCCAGGAGCTCTGATCTGCCTTGGGAAGGTGCCAGGAGAGTGGTGCCTCTGGTCACTTTGTTCCCAGAAGGATTTTGGACTTGGCTTGAAAGCAGTGGTGGTGGGACTCCACGTGACAAATGCTTCCCAGCAGGAGCGTGGCAGGAATGCAGAAAATCCTGCTGCAGTCCCAAGGACTGAAAGAGCTCCAGGACTTGTCCCTGTAGGAGGAAATGGTGATTATTGAGCTAGCTGCTGCTTATAAAATCCTGTTCCTGTTAGTGGCATCAAACCTCTAGTGATAAAATGCACCATGAGATAAAATGTCGAGCCAAGAGTGATAAAGTTCTGTGACTTGTCCAACTGACTGACAAACATTTTTTTCTCCCATCTCTTCACTAAGTGGGAATAATCAGTACAATTCCTGAGAGGGGTTTGGGTCCTCCCAACTTTCTCCATCTCAGGTGGCTGATGATATCTCTGCAATATTGGGATTGCTTTCTTCTGAATGAGGATGTTTGTTTACCTGGTGTGTTTACAGATCTTCTCTCATCCCTGTTCTTCTAGGCTGAGCAAAGCATATCTTTTATCTTTTCCTGTGTGATTAATTTTCATTCATTTCCCTACATCATCTTGGAAGCTCTCTGAGCCTGCTCCAGTGTCCATCATCAGTTTTGCAAACTGATGAAGAGGATGCCCAAAGCAGTCCACAGGAGGACTTTGCCATTGGAAAAAGTGCCAAATCTGAGATGAGACTGTCCATCCCATTCTGCAGAGGAATTCTGAGAGGACTGACCTGTCCTGCTGTGTGCTCCCAAGGATGAGTGCATTTCCCTGTACTCCAGATCAGAACCCAAGCCTGCACTGCTGTACCCAAATTTTTAGCAATGACTCTGGGGAGACATGGAATTTTAGCTGCACCTCCTGGGGATGTGGGCACTTCTGTCCCCCTGCAGAAGACTCACAGTCTCAATGGAGAAACCCTCCACAAATATAAAAGCATTTCAGCTCTTCACAGCTCTTTGGCACATAAATATCTCAGACAGATCTGAACATCAGAGAAGTGTCACTTTTGCAAACAGGTCTTGGCTAATCCTTCCACTGTAACTAGCACACCCAGACTACAGTATCCTCTCAGATTGCCATTATCCATTAAAATTTCACTGCAATGGGCAATAATAAATTGCATCCACTAGTTTTTTGAAAATACTTTTCCATTCCACATCCAGAATCTTCCTTGTTTTCCATAGCACAGAAGAGCTTGATGGAAGTTGGATCTGCTTCCCAACAGTGCTGATTTGCTCCTTCTTTGAGCAATTAAAGCATCTTCTTTGGTGGAGCCCCCTTTTTATTTCCAGGTTCTTACCAATGCACAGTCCAGCAGTAGCAATATAACTGAAAAATGTCCCTTAGCTCTTGGACATGAAATTTTTCACATGAGAATGACATTTAACATTTTTAGAGGCAAGGAAACAAATAACAAAAAAGAACAGATATTGTTTGGGTATTCTTCCATTATTTTTGTTAGTGACATGTCAGCATTCAGACATCAGCACTCCTGAGCTGCTCTGTTGGATGCATTGGCTTTTTCTGTGTCAGCTGGTAAGGGGAAGCAACACCAGCTGACACCTGCACAAGAAAAACACCACTAAATGCTAAATTTTTTCAGGGCAGCAGGATGATAGATCTTGATTCAAATTTTTACTTGTAAAGGAATCCTGAGCCATCCCAATTCTGGCTTCTGGAACTACTTTCAACACCTGACTGAAAGACTGAGTTACAATTTATTGTCTGAGTGAAGATGAGGTGTTTTTTGTCTTGTGGGTACAAAATGATTGTGCTGTCTGTGAGCTGCCCTGGCTCCCAGAGAAAGTGAGCCAGCAGCAGAACCTGCTCCTCAGGCAGTGCCCAAGCTGGACACAGTCACTGCATCCAGTAGAGCAGCTGGATGTGGCACAACCACAGCTTTAGACATCCAGAGGGTGACAAATTTTGGTGTTACTACAGCACTGACCTGAAAGCAGGAGCTCAGTGTCCCTCCAAGTGCCCATGCTGTGCCACTGCTGGTTTTACTGGGACAGAGACATTGCTGCTCTGTGAATTGCTGCTGAGGTTCTTGTCAGCACTTTTGCACACATGGCACAGGACATTAAAAATGTTCTTCTCTCCTTATATCAGGTATATAGCTATATATTATATTTATTTATGATCATGCAAGATCTTTGCATTAAGCAACATCTAGAATGCCCTTGTCTCCCATGGCTGTAACTTTCCAACTGGGGACCATCTGTTTCCCCTCTGTAAAAACCTCTTGGGCTCTTGACCACCACCCTGCAGAGCATCACATCTCAGGGTATGGCCACAGGCAAGGGTTGGGGACAGCAGAGGGGGTGGCTCAAAGTGCTCACAGGATTTGTGCCCCCATCACCAGCAAGCTGCAGCCCCTGCTCCTTCCATCTCCCACCCCAGGGTGAGCAAATGCCTCCCCCTGGGACAGCCCCACTGACAGGCTGGGCTTTGCACTCACATGGAAATGGACTTGCTGCCATTTCAGAAGCTGGGAAATTGCAGCAGCAGTTTCTGTTTCCTAGCAGCTTCCCAGGGAGGGATGGAATCTGAAACAAACAGGGCTTTCAAGCACCAATTTAAACCCGGGTTCTGGTGCTAAAAAGTTATCTTAGTGGCAAACATCAATAGAAGTAAGGCAGAGAAAGAAATAAGAAGAAGGAAATCATGACATGCTGTCTGAAGCCTGAAAAACAATGTAGGTAACTATGCTTCCTCAAAAATACATGCAATTCCTTCATGAGCACTTTGGAAAGCTGTGCCATGACGTGTGCTCACAGGTGTCAACATGCATATTATTTTGACAAGTAATTCACAGAATTGACTGCATCATACTGAGCTGGGAAATAAAATTCTGGTGTTTTTTTACTGCTGGCTCAAATCTGGCTGGAATGATTTGGACCCTGCTGTCAGAAACATTAAACAAGCTCTGCTGGAGAGCAGCCAGGCTTGGTCTGAGTTTCTGTTAGGTACAGAAACTGGCAGCCCAATGTAAGCTAGCTGCAATTGGAAGGAATAATAATAAAAAAGTATTAAAAAGGTCATGGTTTTGCTGGAAGGCATCACACTGTGACAGAACATGATTCCAGAGAACAACCCAAGGCCATGGGAAACGTTTTAGAGCTCTTCCTCCCTTCTCTCAATGGATGCATGCAAAAATATGTAAGTTGTAAGTGGTGTTAGTAAGAAGAGCAGGCTAACACAACAAAATTAAAAAAAAAAAAAAAAGAAAGAAAGACAAAAGGGGAAAAAAATAAAAGGAAGAGAACTCATTTATCAGCATTAATATATAGTAACAAAAAAAAATCAACCCACCAAAAAGTCAAAGAACACAATATATAATCTCAAGATCAATCACTTCCCAGCTGCTCTTTACCTCATTACCCAGAACTCAGAGTTCACACAACACCCTGAACTTACCACTTTAAAAGGGTAAAATAAAGAGATATATCACATGGTCTCTTTATAGAACAGTTCTGATCCATGGCTGATGGGACACAGGATGTAATTTCTCAGGGGAGGTTTGCTGTTGGCAGAGTGGTGCCACCAGCTCACGCTCACCCCTTGTGAAACGCGTGCAGTGATGTGAGTTGCTGCTGATGCTGAGCCCCTTGCCCAGCCGGCACTGTCTGGGTCAGCAGAGCATGTGGAACAGCACAGCTGGGAGAAATGCATCTTTTGCCACCACTCATGCCAGGCAAGAGCCATGGCAGTGTGGCAAAGCTCCAGCAGTTTCCCTCCCTGCTGCTCCTGCTCCAGGCATCAGGGTAAGACCCTCACAGCCCATCCACCTGCTGTGGCACCTGAGTGCTGAAAACTGAACATATGAAAAGTCAAAAGCAAAAAGAAATCCTACATGTGTGCCTTGGGTGTACTCAGGAGTATCAATGCTTTATCTGCTTGTGTCTGCTGAGCTGGGAAATACTGACAAGCAAAGCCAGATTAAACATTTCCCCACTTCAACAGCCTTCAGCCAGCTGAGGACGCAGGAAATAAAGGGAGCTGAGACAAGCTCTCCTTGTAGCAGCTCAGGCTCACCCTGGATTTCACAGCAGGTTTCCTCTCTCTAGCTGTTGAACAGGCATGCTTGATAAAATCCAGCCATTCCAGGTACACTGCACACACCAGTGCCTGCTCTGTAACCCTGCCACCCCTCTGAACCCTCTGCTGCAGCAGCAAACCCAGGAATTTAAAAATAGCTGTACAAAAAGAAGAGCACGTACCAGATATTAAAGCCTTGAAGCTGTGAGTCCATCCTGTTGCTTTTAGGACAGCACATTTCTCTGAGCTCCCTTTTATGTTCCTGTGGTTCACCACAATGCTGATAAATGTGTCCTTGCTACCTGTCTGCGTTACACACCGCAAAAATTTATGGTCTCTTGCCATCTGTTTCAATTAAGAAACTTATATATAGAGCTGGGTGCCTTGCCCAGTAAAATACTTCTGGAAAGAGAATTTTATAGCCTGATAATGGGCCAGATCTCCAGCTGGCATTCATCCACATGCTTCCAGTAGTGCCACTTGATTTACAGCAGCCAAGCAGTCAGGTAGGTAACAACACAACAATAAATTCAAAATGTTATTCATCTCAGCAAGGCCTTTTAATTGTGACACTACTGACTGGTGCTTGCAGCAGATTACAAAATAATCTTCAACTCCTGTTCATGTTGAAACTAATTATTTTAGGGAGACATTTTTGCAGCTCAAGCAAATATGTTTTGTTCTATTCACTCCACACAAACTGCAGATGATGGCTCCAATATATCAAATATACCTTTGCATTTTGCATGGATATAAGAGATATGTCAATCACAGCTTTCTGAGAAGGGCTCTTTGAGGTCATTCCAGTGGCAGCAGAGTATTCATGAAGTCAAAACAAATAAAACTACAACTATTTAACATGTGACAGCACTACAGATAATTGCAAACTCCTCTCCCTCAATCAAAAAGCCACCACTTCAGCCAAAAGGGGATAAACACTGCATAATTTAACATCAGCTACGCCACTAGTGCCACCTACAGCATCCAGCTCAGAGAAACCACCCGGGCTATCAGCTGGCTCAGGTGTGCTTGCATTCCTAGACCACTCTTATTTGGTGTCCAGCCAGTCAAGAAGACATTTTCATAGAGAAAATATCTA